CAGGGTTGACTCAGCCTTCCATCCTTCCGAGGTGGGTAAAATGAGGACCCAGATTGTTGGGGGCAATATGCTGACTCTCTGTAAACCGCTTAGAGAGGCCTGAAAGGCCTATGAAGCGGTATATAAGTCTACTGCTATTGCTATATTCTCCTCTGAAATCTTGGAGAACATCTGCCTTCCATGACCATAAGTCCAGGACTACCCATGATATATTCTCCTCTGAAATCTTGGACAACCACCATCTCATGGTGAAGAAGCTGGGTGAGATCCAACTTAGTAACATAGAAGCGTTCTACCTCATTAAACGAGCCCATGGGGAACTTTTGGGGGGAGGCAGAGCTTCAAAGTTCTCAGGTCCTTCTGAGAAACTGATTCAGCAAAACCAGCCCTTATAAATTGCTCGATGGGCAATAATTAACACAATGAATTGATCCAGTTTCTTCCATCCCTTCTCCATTCACTGGGTCGGCTCAAAATCTTCTCCTTCATGGATCTGTAAGAGCCCGAAATCGCCAGCCAGCGTTCCTCTAAAACAATTAAAATTAGTTCTGCCTTGTGAGCGAGAAAATTTTTTTTATGGCATTCGCAGTCTGATCCGTAAAAAATCGGGGAGGGGAAAGGCAGTTTTTTAAGCCCCTCTGCTTTTCAGGGGAAATATATATCCTGTTTTTCAAGTGTCAATGGAGGAGCTTGGGTGCAGTTCTCGCCTCGGATTTTTAAAAAAAAGGTTTAATTGAATTAATGCTTGCAAAGGAAAGAGGCTTCACCTTGACCCAGGGGTATTGTCAGCAGACTGACGAAATTCAGAGAGTTTTCTGTTTCCCTCCCATCTCTTTCTCTTTCCTTTCTATCTTCCTCCCTCCCTCCCTTCCCTTCCCACCTCTTTCTTCTTCCTCCCTCCCTCCCTTCCTCCTCCCTCGTTCAATCTCTTCTCCCTCCCTTCCTTCCTCTCCCTCCCTCTCTTCCTCTCCCTCCCATTCATCTTTTTCTCCTTCCTTTCTATCTTCCTTCCTCTCTTCTCTTCTCATCTCTTTTCTTCCTAGCTGTACATCTTCCTTAGGCGAGGCCCAACCTTTGCCTTAAAATCATACCTCTTTCCCTTTAGGACACTTCCTAACTTCCCAGGCTCCTTCCACAGACAAAAAAAAAAGAAGGTCTCTGCTTAATTTCTCTTCTCCGTTCCGCTGCTTACTCTGCCTCTTGTTTTTTCCCCCTCGCAGGCAACATCAATGGTTGCCATTTAAACTACTACTTTTTCCTCCTGGCGGTCATCCAGGGTGTCACTCTGCTGCTTTTCCTCATCGTGTCTGTCAAATACGACCGCCAGAAGGCAAGGACTAATGCTGGACGGACTTGACGGGGCCTGTAACAGAAGACGAACAGAAGTCGGTGGGGATCGGAAGAGGTTGCTGATCCAGCAGGAAAGAGCCATTTGGAGGGGCATTTTCTTTTGATTTGCATGATTTTGACTTCTAGGTTGCTCCCCCCCCCCCAAAAAAAAATCTTACACACAAACACATACAAAGCAGAGAGTGCCTTATGCTAGCAAACTAATTTTACAAGCTGTAAATGCAATGCAGGCCAGGCGTTGGAACCCGGAAGCATTTCAGATTCCCTTCCAGGGTGATGTAAAGACAGATGGACAGAACTGTCCAACGGATCAGTTCAGATCCTGGCTTGGAAAGAATTCCTCCCCCCACACCCCTTGGACGCCTTTCATAGAGGTTCAGAGGTAAAAGTTGCAGGCGTCAAGCCAGGTTTATGAGTTGCTGTGCTGTGCATCGAACTCTCCCTCCCTCCCTCCCTCCCTCCCCCCCCTCTCTCTCTCTCTCTCTCTCTCTCACACACACACACACACACACACACACTCTCTCACACACACACACACACACACACACATGCACCCGTTGTCCGCATGGGTAGAACTTCAAAGCTCTACCAACGGTTCTGGCGTTAGGGCTGGGGATCATAGTTCATTTAGTCCAAGCTATGAAGAGGTCTAGTTAGACTGAAATAAAGGATGTTTTTTAATCTACTGTAGGTTTTGGGAGATGTTGTGGTTTGGTTTTATGTTAGCAATTATTTGGGAGTGTGAAACTGGTTTGGCTTTGTAATTTTGCCTATTTTCTGACCCTTTCCTTCCTTCTTTCCTTCCTTCCTTCCTTCTTTCCTTCTCATTGCCCTCCATTCCTATATTCCTTGCTTGCTTCCTCCTCCTCCCTCCCTCCTTCCTTCTCATTGCCCTCCCTCCCTATATTCCTTGCTTGCTTGCTTCCTCTTCCACCTTCCTCCCTCCCTCCCTCCCTCCTTCCTTCTCATTGCCCTCCCTCCCTATATTCCTTGCTTGCTTGCTTCCTCTTCCACCTTCCTCCCTCCCTCCCTCCTTCCTTCTCCTTGCCCTCCCTCCCTATATTCCTTGCTTGCTTGCTTCCTCTTCCACCTTCATCCCTCCCGCCCCCCCTCCTTCCTTCCG